TTTCTTTGCCATCCTATCCAAACCCTTTCTTCAGTCTTGACAGGGGTCTCAATATGGAGAGGACTTAAAGTCATTGGTAGCGAGCAGTTAATGGTGATATTCCCGGGGACTTGTTTCCTCTTTTCTGTATCGAGGTACACATCAAGGGAGGCAACTCCTGTCACAATACCGACCAACACGTAGACGAGCATCCCTTTAAGCCATTTCATTGGTAGGATTGATTGAATACCTCGACCTCGAGGTGCCTTATAATGGGTTTTTGTAGGTGTCGGCTACGTGCCATAAAAAACAAACTGAAGAGATATGATTCTTCTGTGTTCATATATGTACAAATCACAAACCACAACTTCTCTAGAAGTCAATCATTCCGAAATCATATCCAACATGATGATATCCGTGTGATGAAAACCAGATTTAAGGCACTGATGGTCAGTACTGTGGTCAATATCAATTTCCTGGAAACTAATAAAGTTGATGAAGAGATCGGCTATACCTAATGGTGGAAGCGTTGTAACCATGGCCGAACCGACTGTTAGCTTGGACCGCCTCCGTATTGTGATGTACAAGGCGTTAAAATGAAATCTTTTATGAACGATACATTAAGTGCATTAGATTTTATGATATTTTAGAAGGAGATTTCTAAGTGGCCTGAACGGGAAGAATTATCAACACTTGGTATGTGTATATAAAAGTGTGATCTATTTTTAAGGATGTATCGCACATCAGACTTTATCCTGGAGAGGTTCAAGTGTGGGTCCGGATAACCCTGACCCAAACATCAGTCTGGATGCATTTCATTGACAACAGGAAGTTACCTATTAATAACTATGAGGACTTTTCTTTTTAGCATACATACTTGTATATTAGTTAGTTATACGTATAAACTACACTTGATTTATTTGATGCAAATACATGCATATGTATTACACTTTATTTGTTGTACAGATGTATTACACTTACACTTTATTTGTTGTATAAATGTATTACACCTCATTTGTTATACAAACGTATTAGACTTTATTTGTTGTACAAACGTAACACGATTTATTCGTTGTACAAATGTATTACATTTTATTTGTTGTACAAACGTATAATAATTTATTTGTTGTACATATGTATAACACTTTTTTTGTTGTACAAATGCATTACATTTTATTTGTTGAACAAAAGTACAACACTCTATTTGTTGTACACACGTATTACACTTTATTTGTTGAACAAAAGTACAACACTTTATTTGTTGTACACACGTATTACACTTTATTTGTTGTACAAACGTATTGCACTTTATTTGTTGTACACACGTTGTACAGTTGCATTACACTTTATTTGTTGAACAAAAGTACAACACTTTATTTGTTGTACAAACGTATTACACTTTATTTGTTGTACAAGCGTAATACGAGTAATTCGTTGTACAAATGTATTAGACTTTATTTGTTGTACAGATGCATTACACTTTATTTGTTGCACTAACGTATTACACTTTATTTGTTGTACAAACTTTTTAAACTTTATTTGTTGTAAAAGCGTATAACACTTTATTGATTGCTAAACCATAGAACACTTTATTTGATTTAATACAAACGAATTACACTCTTCTTGATGTGCATACCTACAATCCTGCTGTACACACATTTTTAATACTTCCTGTTTGCTCTTCATACATACAATGTACGTCATACATTTTTCATACCTGTTTAACAGACAGACTTGCATACATTAGATGAAGACTTATGTCAGGTTTATAACTGAAGTATTCGTTGTACAAGCTTAATACGATTTATTCGTTGTACAAACGTATAACACTTTATTTGGTGTACACCCGTATACCACTTTATTTGTTGTACAAACGTTTTACGCTTTATTTGTTGTACAGATGCATTACACTTTATTTGTTGTACAAGCGTATTACACTTTACTGATTGTTAAAACGTATTACACTTTATTTGTTGTACAAACGTATTACACTTTATTTGTTGTACAGATGCATTACACTTTATTTGTTGTACAAGCGTATAACACTTTATTTGTCGTACAAGCGTATAACACTTTATTTATTGTACGAACGTTTTACGCTTTATTTGTTGTAAAGATACATTACACTTTTTTTGTTGTACAAGCGTATTACACTTTACTGATTGATAAAACGTAGAACACTTTTTTTGATTTAATACAAACGAATGACACTCTACTTGATGTACATACCTACAATACTGCTGTTATTTGCTGTACACACATTTTTAAGACTTCCTGTTTGCTCTTCATGCATACGTCATACACTTTTCATACCTGTTTAACAGACAGACTTGCATACATTAGATAAACATACAAGTTCAAGTTCGAATTTTATTTACTTGTCAAGCATACATGTATATAAATCCATTGCAGGAACATGCCACCATAAGATTCATACAAATGAACAATAAAAATTTATTTAGATATTATTATAATAATAAATAATAATATACAACATTTATATAGCGCCCTATATAATTTGTAAAATTACTCTAAAGCGCTTTACAACATATGGATAATAGCATAAGTTATAATTGTGAAACAAAAACAAAGGCTTACACTCACTTTTATACATTAAGCAAGCAGATAATCATCGCAATGTGGACATCAATGAATAAATAAAGGGTGGTATTTACATGACGTCTTTGCAAATAGCCCAAAATGCAGACGTGAAGAGGTTTTGATGTCCCTCTTGAATTTGGTCAGGGTATTTGACTTTCTAATAGCAGATGGTACATGTAAGCAAGTCCACAACATGGCCGAAACCCTTACCAAAGCACCGCTTTTCATAGGTCACAGTACGAGATTATGGGAAACACAACAAAGATTGTGACTCCGACCGCAGTGATCGTGACGGCTGATACAGGGTAACAAGCTCCTGTAGGTACTGAGGAGCTGTTCCATATAGTGCCTTGTATGTGTACACCAAAATTTTGTACTGAGACCTGTATCGTACAGGTAACCAGTGCAATGAATATAGCACAGGTGTGATGTGCTTTCTCTTTCGAGTATGAGTTATAACTCATAGCCCATAACCCAGGGCGTTACCATAACTCAACCAAGAGGTAACAAGTGAATTCAACAAAATTTTGCATGCATCTGCAGTCATAAACTATCGGATGCAACCGATGTTCCCGATCTGGTAGTAACAGGATTTGGCAATAGTGTTTACTGGTTTCTCCATGTTTAGTGAACTATCAAATTATACCCCTTGGTTTTTAACAGCCTCAATAGTTCTGGTACCGACCTTGAGCTGGACAGCAATTGTTTGCTGACACTTTGGGGAAAAGACGATTAGTTCCGTCTTTTCCTGATTAAGCTTAAGCATGTTGGCGTTCATCCAGGTATTTATATCCGTCAGACAAGATTCATTATTTTCTGAAATTGTATCCCAACTGTCCTGTGGTTTGATAACCATGTACATTTATGTGGCATAGCAATAATAGCGAAGGCTATGGCGACGACAAATCTCTCCGATCGGTTTGGAGTACAGGCAATAGGTTCGTGGTCCTAGCACCGACCCTTGAGGAGCCCCGAAATCTAGTACTTTGTCATGTTAGGTGGAAGATCCGATGGCAACACACTGTCGTTGTTCATTCAGGTAAGACTGTATCCAGCATAGTGCGGTATCAGTCACTCCATAAGAGTATTCCAGACGTTTATAAAGTATGCCATGGTCGATGACGTCAAATGCAGCTGACAAGTCCAGCATGACAAGCCTTACATATACTTCATTAATACAATGTAGAATATGTATGTACTCAATGAACATAACCAGAGATCTTGTTAAAATACAACTTCCTTACGTTAAATTGATAGTTTAGAGCTGTTCCTATCAACAGTTGATATTTCAGACAGATTACCTAACGTCATTTAGATTTAATATGTTTAATTAACATTAAGAGATGATATCTGAATATTTTTCACACACCATAACGACATGGTCATCTAGACCCTCCTCGAATTTCTTGAATCCCTGGAATATGTATTGAAAAAATCAAAATACAAAAAACGGGGGGGGGGGGGGGGGGGGGGGGACTGACCAATGGCTATGCTTCTACTTGTGTTTTTTTTCAAAGATTACAGAGATACGACAAGCCAGTCAATTTCACCGTTAAACTGACGCGCGATTATGTTAATGTACATCGTCCACCAGAAAGTGCTTATAGAACCTTTGATTTCGTCATGACATATTCCAGGGGTGCTGAGAGGATAACAGAGCTTGTCACCCTTATTAGTACTCCTACATTTAGGTGTTGTAACAAGCAAGAAAAGAACGCACAATGCATTGCTTCGGGTTTAGAGAATGCCATATGATTCATCACATCAATAAAATGGTATTTGAAAACAGTACGTATATATGCTACATTCTCTGGTAGAAGTATGAACATGAATTGGTTATTAATAAAGTTAATTTTATTTTCTTCATTTATTTTATTATTGGTTTGCATAGCAGATAAATTGCATTTCGTATTACGTTAATTTAAATCAATAGCTTGAAATAAATTTCTAAAGGTAGTTCTGAACAATACTAAGATCGCACTAAGAACGGGCTCGCCTAAAACAGTTTTTCTTCTAACGAGGCGCGCACGTAAACAAACACTGGCCTACACCATACACAACATTCTGCAGTATTTACAGTGTTGTAAATTGATGCAATATCATCGTGTCGAAAGGGGGAAAAAACCCATTTTTTTAAATTTTATTTTGTCTTCAAGAGGATACTTTGTTTTAGGAAAGACAATAGTTTTTGACACTCATCTCATCCCCGTATGCGTTATTCACATCTTATTATATCACGAAACTCGTCTTGACCACAACCGGCCCGCCGTGACACATTATATGCAACGCTAGTAATAAAAGCCAGCAGAAAATTTATGAATAATATTAAGCTCTCAAGCCACTTCTACTTGACACGTTGTGTGCGTTAATGAGAGGGAGAGAGCCAGATGGTATATTTGAACAGGAGAATATATATATACCCGTGTAGGTCCCTTCCGACTATCTTCACTCGCACGTCGACACCATGGCAGTTTGGCTCCTAAGTCTTGTTTTCAGCGGTAAGAAACTTTGAGATACGGTTGCGTGTTATTACTAGTAATAACGATCTACATTGATAACGAACTTATCATATAACCATAAAATATGTTATCTACGTATTGCATGCAATAGCTCTGCATTTGTCTCGTTGAGTTAAAGTAAGTAAGTCTATTGCTGAGGTATCATAGTCATGAATTCATATGTCGACGGATGGTAGATTTGTTACAATTGTGATATTATTGTTCATGTTGTTTACAGATATGTAATTGTTTATCGCAATGTTGCCTATCGGTACGGAATGTTCCTATGTCACGGATTTGTTTAAAGTTTTGAATGGTTTAAGTCTGTCTGGATCATAAATATGGTGTCTTTATTTTTTATATCCCTGACTAATAATCTATAAAATACTGAATATAATAACTGAGAGTTTCACTGTTCTTAACACATATTGAATCCATAGCAATGAAGCCGGTCATTTAAATTGTTAGTACATCATTAACTAAAACTGGAATAAGCTTGTACATAAATGCACGAGAAACTAATACCTTTTTTCGACTTCAATGTTTAGGCTGTCTAGCGTTGCCCGGGGTGCCAAGTCCCTACCATCCGGGACAGGACCTTATAGACATTACCTTACAGACGCAGGTAAGTCTTTGTTAAGCAAAAGTCTTAATTTGGAAGATCGTGTCTAGGTAAAGTTGACTTCCCATCTTCATTTGTCATGCAGTTTGTTTGGAAATAAATCGTTTATCCCTGTGAACAATAAAATAATTTCTTCAACGAGTAGATTTAAACTTTCCCGGTAGGAAACTCCCACTTACTCGTTTACTACACAACATGACCCATTGATTCAGAAAATTATTATACCTAAGACAGACTCTAAATCCGCGATCTGTGGTGACTCCTTAAACTTGGTATAATGTAACATATTTGAAAAAAAGTTATAAAAAATAATGTTCATAAAATTAAGATATCGTAGAGTTTTTTTGTGATATGAACAATGCAATCATAATGTACATGTATAAACATCAAGATATAAAACAGCACAAGAGGAGTCTACAATTCAATTTGCTTGAAATTTCTTTGTATACTGTAAATTGCACTCATATATGGTATAGATTCATGTTTTGTGTATGAAATGAAAACAAAATTCATTCCTAGCTACTGTCGATATTTTAAGTGACATTTAATGCACAATTTGGGTTATTAGTATGATAAAGGTAATCCGAGCCAACTTGGAGGTTAAAACGTCAATTAAGTTTCAAGGTAAAACGGGAAATGTACCACATCGTCAATACACGCGAATAAGAACCAGACAAAGTACAAAAGGACAACAACAGACCATCAAAACAAAGGGAAAGAAACAATAAATCCTGTGAGTAATGATGTCAAATAAGTAAATAAAACATATTATAGATAAACACAGGCGAGACCAGGTCCTCCAAAAGAATAGGCGTAACATGATACCATCCATCATAACGTCTCCCATCAAACCCAGTAAAGNAGAGAGAGAGAGAGAGAGAGAGAGAGAGAGAGAGAGAGAGAGAGAGAAACTCGTGATTTTTTTTACTGAAACTAGCAAGTAAATTACATGAACAAGACGAACCGATTAAATATGGAGGGTACACGTATTAGAAACATATCCGAGATCATATATATATTATTATACTGTTTATGCAGAGTTCATGGGTTAATGTGAAACAANATGGAGGTTAACATATCCGAGATCATATATATGTATATACTGTTTATGCAGAGTTCATGGGTTAATGTGAAACAAAATCAAATCTGAGAACGTTTAGAGTTTTATGACAGATTTATAATGTCAGTAAGTGTTTAATAAGTCGTAATATTTTTTATACCCAAACATAATCCTATAATTTGACATTTTTAACGAGAGGTTACCTAATGTTTGATATATCACTTGCACAGTGAACATACCAGTGCCAAAGTTGGAAGTTGTTGGAACTATTGTCTCACCATTGTCTTTCTTTTGCAACACTTATCTGTATTCTCCCAAATTTGGGGAAACGAGAACACCCCTATGCACTTCAGAATTCTTCACAGAGAGAAAGCAGAATCGTGGGAGGTGGAGACGCCCAAATCAATGACTTTCCGTGGCAGGCCTCGCTGGAGTCTTCCGGACAACACATCTGTGGTGCCATTATACTTAATGAGGACTTCGTTCTCACGGCAGCTCACTGCGTTGGAAATAGCGCAAGGTTTGTTTGTTTGTGTTTGTCTTAACACATGATACTGTCAGATGACGACAGTATTCACCGTCAATGGTGCCACCACTCAACAGTAAATTTATGACATTCATGCATATATGTATGACGTCATAGATAGCAATTTCATATAACATATTTCGTGTAGTAACCCATTCATCTCACAATCCGGTCATATTTGCTTGATACGGAGGAGGCCAGATTATCAAGACCCTCTGTTTACAATGGGTCGTTATAGACAAGACTACTCCGTTTACAGTGGGTCGTTATAGACAAGACTCCTCTGTTTACAGTGGGTCATTATAGACAAGACTACCCCGTTTACAGTGGGTCGTTATAGACAAGACTACTCTGTTGACATTGGGTCGTTATAGACAAAACTCCTCTGTTTACAGTGGGTCGTTATAGACAAAACTCCTCTGTTGAAAGTGGGTCGTTATAGACAAGACTCCTCTGTTTACAGTGGGTCATTATAGACAAGACTACTCCGTTTACAGTGGGTCGTTATAGACAAGACTACTCTGTTGACAGTGGGTCGTTATATACAAGACTACTCCGTTAACAGTGGGTCGTTATAGACAAGACTCCTCTGTTTACAGTGGGTCATTATAGACAAGACTTCTCCGTTTACATTGGGTCGTTATAGACAAGACTACTCTGTTGACAGTGGGTTGTTATAGACAAGACTACTCCGTTTACAGTGGGTCGTTATAGACAAGACTTCTCCGTTTACAGTGGGGCGTTATAGACAAGACTCCTCTGTTGACAGTGGATCGTTATAGACAATAGGCATTTAACATTTTACTTTTAAGTAATAGCATTTAAAACGACAGCAGTGTTCAATGAACACGAGGTATACTTGCTAGTGTGCTACCTCAGACATTTTACCCATGATTGTTTAGAGTTACCTCCCTTAAGTATGTATATCATCTCATACATAATACCCGTGAATTATGTAAGAGTCCATAGTGCGTATTATGCATGTGTTTTGTCTTAGAGATAAGTCTTTAAAGCATATTAAATATTACTAGATTGTAATTGAAAAGTATCTTTTTACGCGTATTATCAAAGCATACATTGTAGTTTATCTATCAGTGAGTTCAGCAACAAAAAACGAAATTGAAAAGGTATTTGAATCTTCTATGAGTGCGACTATTTCTAAAACGGTGTATTATGATAGGGAAGCATACAGCCTTAACTTTACATATGAAAGTTTTACTTTCTACACAACCAGTGTACGTATTAAATGTGTCGCAACGTTTCAAGACCAACTGGTCCCTTTGTTAAGTTATGACTGAGTGACGAAACTGTATATCAAAGAAGCAATCAAAATCAGGGAAACTCAGAACATGAATAGAGACGAGGGGGGGTACTAGCTGAGTCATCTGTATGACTAGATACTGACATAATAGGGGAGGGAGCTAGATCTACACCCTATCTGTAACCTATCTGATGCAGTGTGTTTACACTCCCTATCTATCGATAAGCGAAACGTCCCAGTTAGTCTTGAAGTACGTTTAATACGTACATTGTTTGTGTAGAAAGGAAAACTTTGATACAACATGTTTAAGATTAGATACTTAACTTTACATATTGTATCACAGTTCGTACACGATCCATGTGGGCAGTTCCAGTCTGAGCGGCAGTGGGGGTTCCAGGCACGGCGTATCCGCTGTGACACCGGTAAGTCAGCTTCATTTGATTTAGTCTGACCTTCAGCTTTTTCTTTTGAGTTGTGGCTCGTTTCATAATATGCAAACTTTATTGACTAATTATTTGATTTTGACAAATTTTCCTATTAATTTTTAAATTCATATACAATTCAAGTGTGTTAAACAACTCCCCTTCTGTTCAACAGTATAATTCACACATTATTTAAACGATAAAAAAGCTCGTTCGGTTGATTATATGGATTTTGTTCTCCTCTCAGCATGAACACTTCATAAATAGTGGCAGCACTTCTATAGGCGCCTTTCCAAATGACGTGGCTGTCATGAAGCTAAGTTCTTCAATTTCGTTTAACCAAAACAAACAACCGATTAGTTTGACATCCGTCACTAACGCCCAACTAGCAGGCTACAACGAAGAGGACTGTGTGATTACTGGATGGGGTAGAACAAACGGCAACGGTGGTAAGTAGGCATACTTATGCAGAAATCTTCAAGCCGCGAAGTCAAATATTCGCAATAAATCACCGAAAGCGGATTCAGGGTGTTTCCCATCGTTCGTAACCTCTTTATACGATGGTGAATTTTTCTTGTTTGTTTTTGGCTTCTGTTTTTTTTGTTTTTATTTTATTGATTTGATTGTATTTTCTTTACATTTCAGTTATTATTTTGGGGCTATAACGATTTGCAGGTTGTATTCAGATTGAGATAATACTGCAAATGAAACCTTGCCAAATATAATTGCTAAACAGAATTTACATAACAAAGTCTGCTGAGAGATTTGTACTACCCTATAACTCAATAGTGTCTGATTTAAAATACCTATGTGAAATAGATATGCGTTCTTTCTTCTCTCTTTTTTATATATCTTTTTTAACTTTAATATTTTATGCTACTGCTCATTGTTCATTTGATCAGTTAACAAAAACGATTCATAAAGATATGAAGTCCATAACATGTGTTGAAGTTGTAAAATAAACTTTTTCCGTATTTCAATCACTTTTGATTTCCGTTATGTTTAACACTGCGGCGTAACCCGCAGTTGGAAAATAAGATTGTCGTTAGCTGAAAAGTTAGTGGCCATGGTGTAATTTTATATAAATCCTATATTGATATAAGACTGTTTTGAGATTAAGAATATGCGAAAAAAATCCTGGCCTAAATTTGCATGGCAGATTTCGTCGACGAAACAAAAGACGCTTACCCTTGGTTATCACATGGTCTTATTCTCCTTATAATTCTTCCATTAGCCTCTGGTTTGATATATCTTAAATTGAGTTCTAAATACGGTTTTGGTTTCATTTTGGCAATGTCTCAGATGTATCAGATCGCACGAACAGCAAGTACAATAGCTTCTCCTGTGATGTGACCCCGAGGTGTAATGTAGAACTGACATTTGTTGAACAGCTTGCGATGTGGACCTCATACAGTTTCGGTGTGACCTGCAGTTGTAAACTACATCTTTGTTAGTTAAACAGTTTTTGATCTGACCTTTGATTGTTAAGAATAATAGTTGTCTTTTAAAAAGTAAGTTTGCTTTTTATTTTGGTTTCTTCAGTTACAAAGTAGCATGGTGGTTAATTGTTTCTGCCTATAAATTGACGCGTAAACATTGCTTAATGTTAAGCATGACCCAGATGCATCATATATGGTTCATGCTTATCATATCATGGTGAGTTAACATGACCAAGATACATCATATCTGTGTTCAATATGTCGGTAATGAGAAGACACGTATGCTTTGAATTAGCACTAGAAAAGTAAAGTAAGAAAAGCATCTATTTACTATTTTTTGTTTGCAGATGCAGAAAATCGATCACAGTAAACATGTTATTGCACCACGTGATATTTTTGTCCACTTAGGACTCATCCGTGGTACTAAAGGGCAAGAGAATGAAAACACCATATGTGAAGAGTTCCAAAGCATGTGTAAAATATACNTGAAATGAATTCCAGCTACAAATCTTCAACCAACCTTTGGAATAAAAAGACCTGCAGCGGAGGCAATCGCCTTGAATTTTCAACACACACATAACACCAATTTAAATAAATGTAAAATTAAAATAGTGTCAAACTTAAATACTACACTTCACTCGATAAGGTAGTTATAATTATATCAGAGAGAAATCCCCCTTGTGGATAGAAAACAAAAATGGTACAGCATCACCATATTGTGAATAATGATACGTCTTACGTACAATAACCAAAATAGCTTTTTTATTCTTATCTTCATTGACATATACTGATATAAACTTGTTAATTTTGCCTTCACATTTTAAAGTAAAAAAATGATATAATTCTATTTAAACTTTGACATTATTTTATTGATACATACTAAAAGAATATTAAAAAATAAATAAAAAAATGTAAAGATACAAGTTAGTAATGTTTTTCGGCTAACCTTTTAACATATGTTTTATTTTTATTTACAGGTTCGCTGCCAAATATACTACAGAAGACCTTTGTTAAGATAATGACTGACAATGCCTGTTCCGTTTCTCTCGGTTCTAGCTTGAACAGCGACATACACATTTGTGTAGACGGTGCAGGCACCTCTGGAGGTTGCAATGTAAGTCACCCTTGTTTTTACAGTACAGCTTAAGTCATAGTACAAACCAGGGCTACAGGAAAATTTAATTCATTCATCATATATCTTGTTAAATCTAGTTTTTGCGTCACCAATTATAGATTATCATAATTATATTCCAACTGATCGCAATACTTGTATCTGCTGTTCAATAGAAATGTAGTTGAATATTATACATATATATACATATACATTATATGTAAAACCTCTTTATGAAACTGATATATTACATAAAGGGTCTGCTCACTAAAATAAATAAAAACGATGGCCGAGATGTTGTTTAGAACTTGTTTTTTATTCAGAATAAATATTCTCTTGGCACTTCAGCAATAACTGCCACTAAGATAGGAAGCAATTCCACCAAGAATTTTCTTCATAAGCTCACCTGCCCGAATGCGTCCATCGAACAAAATATTACTAGAGTCGTGAAATTTGGCTGATGTCTTCCTAGAAAATATCCTCCCAAAGCGGTGAATTAAAATAACTTTGAATGAGTTCCTTTTGTTATAGAAGGGTTGAACAAACAAAATCTTCAAATGACCACTTCTGAAGAACAAAAAGCCGGATACAGCCTGTTCTAATGTTATACCTCATTATTCAAAAGGGCGTCATGATTACATGTAGGCCTAAATTATTTGATGAATAATTCAATGCTTAGAATTGAAAAAGTAAGAATTGGAGATTTTTTAATTGTTAACCAGATAATCAAACATAGGGGTAGTTCAAGTAATTTAAACCATTCCTTTGTTGAGCCCCGAAAGTTCATTTCGATCAATTATTTGCATATTATTTTTCATTTTGACTAAAACAAGACATTGATTTAACTTAAGGAGATAAAATGCGAAAATGGATGGGCTAAA